ATAATCTGTCTGTCTGTCTGTCTTTAGTGAAACAAAAAACTTACCTTTACGTATTCCTGAAGCACTTCAATAATTGCAGTACATGCTTCTGGAATGGTTCTTGAAATAACTGCGGTTGATGTTTTAAAAACTAAACTAAACTAAAAACCGTAAGGTTATAGCTAGACGATCTTGAGCAGAGATGGTATTTCGATAATGTGTGTTCTGCTTACTAATCATAGGTCCTATCATTTGAAGTAGGTGTTGAAAGGCACTGCTAGACATTCGGAAAAAGTTTTTGAAACCACCGTTACTTCTGTATTCTAAATTTAACACATTTGTATCGTCAAGTATCAAGTCCTTGTATAAATCACTTGCACTGTATTTTTTTCTGCTTTGAAGACTTGGTCTAACCCAAAATCTTGGTCGTCGACGACGCTTTTTTTGAGCTGCAATAATTATAAATGCTGCAGAGGCAAGAATCGCGTCGTCGTCATCGAACATTTTGATGTCGAATGGCTAAATAATGTCAATTTGGTGGAAACCGTAAAGAGGGTGATATGCTTTGCAGATCGGCTTTGGCAATCGGCTCCGATCGGCTTTGCCGATTCCGGTGGAAATGCTCCTTCGGCATAGCCGATCGGCAGAGCCGATCCGCAACGTGTTGCCGATTGTCATAAGGCGATCGGCTTGCCGAACGGCGAACCACCAAAAGTCGGTCCGGATCAAAGAAAGCCGAATCGAAGTGGTGGAAACGCGAAGCCGATCGGAACAGAGATTTTGGTGCGTTGTCAAAGTATTATTTTCCAGTTCGCTGGCGGAAGTCACGGATGTATGTACTGCGCTGCGAAAATAGGTAAATTTTCGAATAATGAACTGGACTAACGAACAAGTTTTGGCCTTGATAGAGCTCTATCGTTCTCGAGATGTACTGTGGGATTCCAAAAACTCATTTTACAAAGACAATAATAAGAGACATGACGCCTTCATGGAAATTGCTCATGAGTTGAATGCAGATAAGACCGAGATTGAGAAAAAAATTCGCTATTTGCAAAGTTACTTCGGCAGAGAATTGAAAAAAGTAAAAACTTGCAAATCCGGCGATGGATTAAAGGATGTTACAGTAATGTAATTCGATACAATGCGAATGCATTTTGTATTTGATGGGTATCTTTAATAATCGCGCCACGATTTTATATCAACTTAAAAATATATATTGTACCATTAACTCTATTGTTAAATCTAGACTGTAATAAACAGAGATCTGCCAAATTATTTTCTGATTTTTAGTGCATTTTTTAATAAAATCGCGTCGTCGTCATCGA